TGCCTGGCTACCACCGATGACCGCCCTGAGAGGGAACACAACAGAGTCCCTGACGGAGCAGGAGGAAAGTAGGGTGCAGAGCTCAAATTCTAGTAAAAAGACTAGACTTAATGGTCTGAGACTGGAGGGACCCCAGAAGACATGGCCCCCAGACTCTCCGTTAGCTGAGAACTAAAACCATTCCCGAAGCCAACTCTTCAGACAAAGACTAGACTGGACTGTGGGACATAAAATGATACTCGTGAAGAGAGTGCTTCTTAGCTCAAGTAGATACGTGAGACTAAATGGGCAGCTCCTGTCCTGAGGCGAGATGAGAAGGCAAAAAAGGGACAGGAGCTGGTTGAATGGACATGGGAACTCTGGGGTAGAAAGGAGGCGTGTGCTGTTATATTATAGGGAGAGCAGCTAGGGTCACATAGCAGTATGTGTATAAATTTTTGTATGAGAAACTGACTTGAACTATAAACTTTCACTTAAAGCACAATTTAAAAAAAAAAGAGAGAGATCCCACAGAATCCAAATAATGCCTTGAGCCTATCCACAGATTTTATTCAACCAACTAGCCCATCCTGCCATCCTGCCATGGTAGAGAAGCTTTGAATGATAGAGTGCTGACCTGAAAATCTCCCTGAGGCAGAGAATCCACACTCACAGGAGGGCGTGTGGTATCAGGAGGGTGGGTAGTATGATGGTTCACAGTATGGTTTTGAGCTCAGACTGCCTTGACTCAAATCCCAGCTCTGTCAGGTACCAGCTGAGTGACCTTGGCCTCAGATTCCTCATCTAGAAGACTCAGTACTTACAGGGGACTCAACCATTTTAGCACAGTGCCTGGCACATAGTGAGTGCTCAATTAGTGGAATTTGAAATTATCAGATTGACAGTTCAGACAGTTGGAGCCACCAGGATCCACTCTCATTTTACAGATAAAGAAAGGAAAGGACTTGCCCAATGTCTCTTAGCCAGTAAGTGGTGGGTCTGGAACCAGAACCCAAGACCCTGACTCCAAACAAGGGCAGCTCCTATAATAACTATTCTTTTTCTGCACCTACTGATGTGATCATACAATTTTCTACTTTAGCCTGCTGATATGATGAATTACATGAATTGAATGAGGCTTGTATATCTGGGATAAATCCACTTGGTCATGGCCTATAATTATTTTTATACATTGTTGGATACAATTTGCTAATATTTTGTTGAGGATTTTTGCATCTATGTTCATGAGGGATATTGGTCTACAATTTTTCTTCCTAGTATTATCTTTGTGTGATTTCAGTATTAGGGTAACGCTGGCCTCCTAGAATGAGATAGGAAGTGTTCCCTCAATCTTCTATTTTTTTGGAAGAATATAATAACTATTCTTAACACAGCATCATATTTGAACTTCCCAACAACCTTGAGATACTATTATTTTCTCCTCTATGGTCTGCTCTCCCCTCCTCATATCTTTGACCTCATCTCCCACCCTTGTCTCCCCCACTTTCCTCCGTGTGCTGCCCACTCCAGGCACCCTGGGCTCCTTGCTGCTCCTCAAACACGCCTAGCATCCTCCTGCCTCAGGCCTGCCTGCTCCCTCTGCCTGGAACAGTTGTTCCTTGAATAACCCAAAAACCATTGCCATCGAGTCGATTCCCACTCATAGCAACCCTATAGGACAGAGCAAAACTGCCCCATAGGGTTTTCAAGGAGTGCCTGGTGGATTCGAACTGCCGACCTTTTGGTTAGCAGCCAAACTCTTAACCATTATGCCACCAGAGTTTCCCCTTTATTCAGATCTCTGCTCCAACCCACCTTATATAAAATGATAAGACATCTGGGATCTACTTCAAAATAATTCACTGGAGGGGGGGGCAGTGAATAAAGAAACAGGATTGATTCAAGTTGATAGTTGTTGAGGTTGGGTTTATACTCTGCTTTCTATTTTTATTTATGTTTGAAATTTTCTAAAATAAAAAGATTTCTTTTAAAAATTTACCTCTTTCTATTATTCTCTATTTTTGCATAGGTTTAAATTTTTTCCATAATAAAGTTAAAAAAAAAAAACTCACCTTGTTCATTATATTATTCTCTCTGCTTTCATGTATGTTTGAAATTTTCCAAATTAAAAAATTTTTTAAAACTCACTTTTTCAAAGTCTTCCTTGACCACACCCATCAGCACTCCCATCAACCCCCCCCACACACACACCACTCTAACCCCTTACCCTGTTTTTATTCTTCTTAGCCCTTATCACCACCTTATATAAGATATGTTCATCTGTTTATTTTCTGTCTCCATCATCCAAAATGTCAGCTCCATGAAAGGACTTCATTTTCTTCCACTGCTAGATCTATAGCCATTGTAACAGTGCCTGGCACACAGTAAATATTTTTCAAATGGATTGTTTGTTGAGTGAATCCCAACTTACAGATTAGGAAATGGAGGCTCAGGCTGATTGAGCTACTTGCTCTAAGCCACCCAGCAAGTCAGTGGTGGGGCCAAAGCTTAAACACTGGTCTAGGCACCTCTGTCCTCCAGAACCTGGAAGCCTCGTCCTCATTTCTACACATACACATTCACACAGGTGATGTTACCTGGTGGCACATGACCCAGGACCAGGAGAGCCACAATGAGCAGAAGCAGCTGTGTCATGGCCACAGAGCTCCAGGGGAGGCCTCTGGGAAGAACACAGGAGAGTAGCCCAGCATTCTGAGCCTCGCTACCTACCGCCCAAGCTTTATTGGGCTGCAGATCAAGGCAGGGCTGTGGGCAGCAGACATAAGTGGAAGTCTGAGGCCGTGTGGTCCCAAAGCGGTAGTTGGATCCCCGCCAGCATGTGAAGAACTTGTCAGCCACACCCGTGGGGAAGCTGCTGAGCTCTGAAGCTGGGGACAAAACTTTCTGAGGCAATGCCTGGGGTCAGAAACTGGACATCTTCTTCACCTGGGAGGGTAGGAAAAGCTTTGGTTTCAGAAAGATCTAGTTCAATCTCAGCATCTCCTCCAAATCGCTGTGAGACCTTGGATGAGTCACTTAACCTCTCTGAGCCCCAGGCTGTCACCTATGAAATGAAGGCCACAATCTCTCCCTTGCAAAGCACAATAAATGGAGGTTTCCCTTCCTGATGTCAAGAAGCCAAGACCAGACACAATAACCCATTCAAACAAGCATGTATTTAGGTCTACTCTGAGAGGAAGATAGTAATAGTAGAGGTTTAAATGAAATACTGTAGTTCTCAAAAGTGCTCCCAGATGAGCAGCATCAGCAACACTTGGAACTTGTTAGACATGCAAATTCTCAAGCCCCACCCCAAACCTACTGATTCAGAAGCTCTGAGGGTGGGTCCCAGCAAGATGTGTTTTAATAAGCCCTCCAGGCGGTTCCAATGCATTGCTAAAGTCTGGGAGCCACTGAGATAATATTTGTACAGAGTTTAGACCAGTGCCTGGTACACAGGCACCTGAGTTGCATCAGGAAAGATAAGTGGGGGAAAGGGCATTCCAGGCAGAAGGACCAGAATGTGCCTGGAAGCGTGGGGCACGGCCAGAGGAAGGGGTCTGCTGGGAGGAGAGGCTGAAATGACCCTGAGGAGGGCGGAGGAGTCAGAGCATGAATGCCAAGTTTGGACTCTGGGATTGTAGACAACTGAAAGTTGAGACCTGTTCAGGTTTGGGTTTTAAATAAAGAAACTGAAATGCAAAGAGGGGAAGTGAGTAACTGAGTTGCAGAGCTGGGACTCAAAGCCAAGTCACCCTGCTCCTGGACAATGAACAGTGCTACTCCGCTCACAGCCCATCTTGCAGGTGGGATGGGGAAGCTCAGAGAGCCTGGCCAGGGGCGGAAGCCAGGCATGAGGAGTTTAGGTGTTTGCCCAGGACCCTGTGGAGGCTGAGCCAGTCTGCCAGGCTGCTGTGGAAATTGTTCCAAGCTAGACACCTGAACCCCTTCAGCCATGACAATGAGCCCCACCAGCAGGTACAGCCTGGTCTCCACTAGTCCTACACACAGCCTAAAGGGAGCCCCCGCCCCCCACTCAAAAAGCCTGATGCTGGCCCCATGGATGGCCCACATCACCAGGTCCCTACAGCCCACTTTCATACCGAGGTCACAATGTCTCTTTCCTCCTCCCACATCCCTAGGAAGATCAGGAGCCATGGACCTTCCTCCTCCCACATCCCTAGGAAGATCAGGAGCGGTGGACCGTGATGGAAAGGGACAGCTGGCTAGGAGGCAAAGAGCTGCGTCCTAGACCCTGCTAAACCTCAGTCTGCTCATCCTTTTAGTGTTGTGTGAAGATTAAATTAGCTATCAATCCAGGCAAAGTGCTCACAACCATGCCAAGCACAGGGCAAATGCTGGGCAAATATTCATCAGAGAGAAGACAGACGTCTTTCAGGGCACAGGAAAGCCCTGCCGCATAACTCGTGCTTACCTTTATGAGGGTATTTGGTGATTGAATGAACGGATGACACCAAAATAAGATATCAGAACTCTTCAGTGCAAACGTCCTGGGCTCCCTCCTCCCCCAAGCCACGTCCCAAAATTAATTCCCCATCCAGAGCAGAATTTCTCAAAGTAGGTCCACAAACTACCTGCATCAGAATCACTTGGGAAACTTGTTTAAGATGCAGATTGCTGAATACCGGCCTCCAGAACTGCTGAATCCGCCCCTTGAGAGTGAGACCTGAGAACCTGAACATTCATCAAACTCCCCTTTTGGTTACTGTGAGGGTTAAAGGGGGGGATCCATTGATGGAGTGGATAGATGTGGGGTGCAGAAGGGGGCCGAGATCCAGGAATCCTGAGTCCCATTCTTCCTCTCTCGCGCCCCTCACCCCGGGATTGGACTTGAGGGTCAATTGACCCCTGCTCTCTGAGAAAAGTCACTGCGCCGCCAACGCCTTGGGGCGGGGACCCCGGGGCTGTCCTAATGGGGCGGAGCTGGATGGGCCAGGGTGGAGGCTCCTCCCCCGGCCGGAGCCGCTGGGCGGGACAAGCCTGAGGGGCCGTGCGCCGAGGCGGGTGGTACAGCCTGAAGGAACCCTCAACGGAGGCGGCCCGGGACCCTGGACCCTTCCCACGCCCAGGTAAAGCCCCGCGCAACCCGCCGCCAAGTTAGTCGAGTTGGCGCGGAGTTCGCCAGGCGCCTGCATGGGGGCGCTGCCGCGCAGTCAGGAGCAAAGGGGACCCCCGAAACGTTGCCCCGGGATTGAAGGTCCTTGGACCCGGGGCCGGAGGGTTGAGTAGTCTGGGACAGGAACACCTGCGATCGGGGGCTCACATCCACGACCTTCGGGTTGGGGAAGATCGGACCCAACTCCAGGAATGGCACATTTGTTCCTGGGCCCTATGGGCTTCCCATCTCCCCGACAGGACCCTGTCCTGTCACCAAACCTGTGGCCGGACCGGCTCGCAGCCCCTGCCTCCGACGGCGGCTGGAAGCTGTCTCACCAGCCGCTCCTGAATTTTTCACGCAGGGAGCAGGCTGGGCACGCCGTTCCCATGGCACCAAGGCTCTCGAGTTACAGCCAGAGGGAACCCCCAGGCCCCTCGCCCTCAGGGGCACCAACCTACCCCACCCTGCCTCCCCCTCAGGCCGTGTGGGATCGGGCAGCAGAAGTGAACAACCACCCAC